TTATATAAATAAATTTTTTATTTCGTCTGCTTCTCCTTTTAAAGTGTTTTTACTTAAACGAAAAATATAAATCACGTGATAAAATAACCTTAAAGTGCATTAATTTTGTAAAATTTTTGTTGGAAGAATGATTCACGTGATAAAAGAATTCTAGAACAGGAAGAAAAATCAGTGACTCATAACGCAAAAACTCAACAAGTTGGTCGAAAACAGGTAACAGCAGATACCAGAGGTGAGAGAGATCAGCGTGTTAAGAAGAGGATAAGTGCCATAAATTGGATCAAGCATGGAAAGTAGGGAAACTCTCTTGCCCGTCTGTTCTCTTCCAAGCTGCTGAAGCTAGGTGAAAGGGATCAAATATTAGGACCTGAACATAACATATATCGTATCGAGAGCTGGTAGAGGGACACTCAGCATTATCTCTTCTGACACAACAAACCCACGCGTTCACACTATATATACGTATACATATACTGACTCAGGGCTAGCTAAATTCTTCAAATAGGGCTCGAGTATGTCATGTGAGTAAAGAGAGACATTTAGGAAAACCCAAGCTACACTTACAGCAAACATGCCATGCAATATCAGTAAGTACACTGCCTGCACATAATAAAGCAACAACCGAGTGGGGGCCACTAGTAAACCTGGCGAGCATAGGAGAAAAAACAACTGAAATCACTAATAGGGCACAAGGAGCAGCAGCAGCAAACGTGAAACGCTGTGTATACTGCGAAGGCCCAACTGGACATTCAGTCGAGGAATGCTAAAAACTGCTAGTGGTGATTAACGACAGAAAAACGTCAAGAGATAACGGGAGGGAACCAAAGGGAAACTGCAATTATTGTCAGAGACCGGGACTCTATGCGAGAGACTGCCGCTCACGTAGGCAAGACAGGGAGGAAGAGGAAAGACAGTAAAGCGAAGGGCATAACCAACCCGTAGATAACACTAATACCAACAGGAACACCTATAATTACGGGAACGGAAATGATAATGCTAACAACTATAATGATAATAATTATAACTGGGGCTATAACAATGGCCCAAAGGAGCCCAATAACAGGAATAATAACTACTACAACAGGAATAACAACTACAATAACAGAAACAACAATTACAATAATGGAAATAACAGAAATAACAATTACAATAATAGAAATAACAACTACAATGGCAGGAATGATTACAACAACAGTTATAATAACTACAACCCCACAGGCAGCAATTATTACACCAACTGTGGTTACGGTGACCCGTATCAACAATAACCCGTAACAACAACAGGGAAACATTCAACCGTTACAGGAACAACCATAGAGATCAAGACAATAGGAACGGCTATAATATAAATCCAGTCAGGAACGGGCCACCACAGGATAGGGGCCTACAGCAGTGAAAAAACGGCGTATACGGCCCTGAAAACAGGAGAGATGCACCCGCAGTTTTAAACTTGCAAGATGTTCGGCGTGGTCCCCAAACGTTGAACATGAACTAGAGAAAGAGACGGAGAACAGCGTGTCTGGCGAAGGAGAATGTGCGAGAGAGAGGCCGCAGAAGCTAGAAATAGTGGGAACGAAAATGCACCACAACAGTCCGAGTACTGACTCAGGGCAGGAAAGAGTAGAACATAATAAATTAGAGTGCGAAGATACTTCTACACAGTGGAGATGCAAACGCACAAGAAAAGGTAGAAGGGCCCGCAAAAAGAGTAATCAAATAAAGGCGCGCGCCGGACACACATATAGAGAATGACGAACTCAAGCTTTCAGAGAGTGACGAAGAAATAGATCAGCTTCCCAAAATAACTATAAAATTCGCGAGAGCAGGGCACACGCCATCATCGGTTTAATTAGGGGGACCACAGTTAAAGAACGGAAAGGTGACTTTGTATGCGGATACAGGCGCAGAGATTTCGATCATAAAGGAAAATTTTTTTAGCACAGACATGCTAATCGACAGTAGGTATCGAGTAGCTATGATCGGCGTGACTCACGGAGCACTCAGAACATTGGGCACAGTACTGGCCCGGTTGCACGGATCAGAGTGCACATTGACGCGGAAGGAATCATAGGGTGGGATGCTTTTAAGAGGTACCGTGGCCAGATAAGCGCTGCCGAGAATATGATTAAATTAAATGACGTAGAGATACCACTGTTGAAGCCGGAGTGTTTTAGGATACCTGCAAGATCGAAACAAATTATTCATGCGCGAGTAAAAAAGAGTGAAAATAATGCAGAAAATGGCTGGATACCCCTTCAAGGGATGGAAGAAGGAATATTATTTGGAAACTTCATAGCCAAAAATATCAACGGAAAAATAGTCGCAGAATGCATTAACACGAGTGACGAGATAGAATGCGTGCCCATTCCGGAAGTAGAGCTGCTAGATAACGAAGAAATTTATCAGAAGCACTTAGAAGACGTTGAAGGAGATAATATCGAAAGCTTGGGGGAAGCGGTAATAGGGTTATTTAACGAAGGAATAGGTGATAATGAAGAAAAAACAAAAAATGTTACGAAAGACGATGAAGAGTTAGAGAAACAAAAACGGGTAGATAAAATAATGCAACTCGTAGACACAGCCGGTTGCAACCATGAAGAAGAAGAACATGTGAAAAATCTAATCGAGTCATACCCTTGTGTATTTAGCCTCGACGGTAAGCCTCTCAAGGTAACACACCTGATAAAGCACCGAATTATAATGACTTCGGATAAACCCATCGTGGCGAAAAGATTCAAATATCCTCCAACAATAAGATATCAAATGAAAACATAAAAAAAATGCTCGAACAAGGGATAATTGAACCCTCCACCTCCCCGTATAGCTCAAATACCTAGATAGTGGCAAAACAACCGGGGTCAAACAACGAAAGAAGGGTGAGAGTAGTCACAGATTTTTGACTACTAAACAAGTTGACAGTGGGTTCATGTTACCCGCTAACGTTTCAGAGCGACATCTTAGATAATCTAGCATCAGCACGGTACATCACAGTAGTGGACCTCAAATCGGGATTCTTTCAAGTAAAAATACACGAAGATGATGGACATAAAACGGCATTTTCAGGCCCAGATGGGCACTACTAATATAAAAGAATGCCAATGGGGTGCAAAGACTCCCCCAACACATTTCTGAGGGCTATCGCACTAGCACTCGCAGGATTACAAGGCCATCAAATAGAAGTGTATTTTGATGACATAATGGTCTTTGCCCCTGATCTTGAGGAACATGAGAGACGATTCACGAAACTGTTGAAACAGCTGGCAGCTGCAAACCTTACGATTGAACCTAAAAAGTGTCAATTCTTGAAAAAAGAAGCGAAAGTGCTCGGTCACATCGCAGGCAATGGACAAATAATGACTGAACTCAAGAAACTTGAAGTGGATAGAAACTATCCTCAACCGAAAAACGTAAAGAAAGTTAAACAATTTTTAGGATTCGCAGAGTACTACAGGCGATTTGTCAAAAATTATGCATGAATTTCCCAGCCTATATTGAGTCTCCTAAAACCAGGCACTGCATTTAAATGGGATGACCAAGAGAAGAAAGCATTTAAAACTCTCGTAGATACACTCTGTGCAGTGGACCTGTACTCATCGCCCCAGATTTGGAAAAATCCTTTGTCGTCACAACGGACGCATTAGATTACGCGATCGGAGCGATTCTCAGTCAGGGAGAAATCGGAAAAGATAGACCGTGCGAATACGCGTCTCGCTGTCTTATAGGAAGCGAACTCCGCTACCCGACCTACGACAAGAAACTATTGGCAATTGTATTTGCAAAAGAGCAATTTAGACCATATTTATACAGACGCAAGTTTACGGTGGTTACAGACCATGAGCCACTTAAGCATTTTTATTCGTCTAAAAAACCTGATATTCATTTTAACAGACCCAAAGCGGAACTGAGAGGGCATGAGTTGGAAGTTATTTACCGCCCGAGTGTAAACAACAGACCACCCGACGCACTATCACTAAACCCAGTACTACAAGAGGGGGAAGTAAATTCTGAACAGCCACAGCAAGAGCTATATCAGCTTGTGGACGAACAAGAGAAAGAAGAACCAGCTGATAGTGACGGACCACCGGCGCGCATATTTAAAGTACGGGCAACTCGTAAGAAGAGAATTCAAGGCAATCCGAAAAAAATAAAAGTCTATGGTACTGACTTAAAAAACTCAAACGATATAATACGAAAAAAAACACGATATTGCTGTGAAAATAGTGAAAAAGGTTCAGATGTGAGTACAGAAGGTCAAGAAAACAGCGATGCATACTCTGAATCAGAGGAGCGTTACGAAAGGAATTCGCCGTCGCTACAAGCAATAAAGGGTCAAAACGAGTGGAAATTATGAGAACTTGCAGAGAAAGGTGAATTTATTTTACAGGAAGCAGCAGACAGGAAATTAGGCTACTTTAAGAAAGAGCCAGGCTTTTGAAAAGGAATAACTACCACTAGCACACCAGCAATATTAGAACGAAAAGAGAAATTGCGAAAGGTACGCAAACGACTACTTGACACTGTGCATAGACAGAAACCGCATTTTTCAGCTACGCAACTGACGACGATTCCGTCAAAGAAAATAATAATAGCTTATTGTGACACACCATTACAAATCACGACAAGTAAAAATCAAGAATTAATTACAGAAGAACAGGAAACTGATACAGAAAGAAAGGATGGAAGCATTTAACAAGCAAGGGAATTTTTAACAAACAAACAAAAAGACCCGAACACATGTGATTTGTTAGAGGGACGTAAATGAAAACACCCATGACCATGACGGGATAAATATGGTCTAGTCGTAGGAAAACGAAAACGCAGCACGAAACGAACGCAATGAGCACTCAGAAGTGGCACCTCAAGATAAGTGGCTAGACTATTCAAAGGACAAAACGCGAAGGGAAACTTGCGAATGCGCACAACCTGGTAGCAGCCTGACAAAAATATCGGAAATTTCATCTGACCCACCCGGAAACTCTTTGTTTCACAGCGTTATATCGTTATACGAACTCGACATCTCAACTGCGAAGTGACGAACAATTCTGCGCAACTCTAATTTGTTACAAAAATGCAGAGAGCCGGAAGAAACAAAAGAAATTTTGGAGTCACAGACAATGTACGGAAACAGCGATTGCACTTTTCTGTTCTCTCAAGAATTCTAGAGAAACATTTGTGTGCATTTTGCATTAAACAATGGAAGTTATATTTACACCCATAATATTGCTACGACAGACGATGAATTTGGCCATTTACATCTAGAAGGAGTAAGTGAAAATGCACATTATACAACTCTTATACAGGCCTCCAGCACGATAAATACGGAACATAAGTCAGGGACAGAGCCACCTAAAGACCATAGCAGTAGTGAAAGAAGTGATGAGAATAAGCATAAGCCCGAGCTACACGAAAGAGTGGAAAGAGGCAAGCGGGGGAAGGAGAACAAAAGTCATTTAGAAAAAGAGCTAGGCACTACCGGAAGAGCAGTGGACACAAGTAAGCATACGGAAAAACGGGGAGAGAATGGATAATCGAGCAGCAATGACGACAGCAACGAAAGTACAGTAGAGGAAGAAATAGAGCAAGCTAACGAGTTGAATAACGCGCTTAACGAAACACAGAGACATAATAATACCAACATAGTAATACACTCATCATCGATGGAAAAATATAGAGTGTACAAAGCACGCCTACTAACGGGGAGGCCATCATGGGCACAAAAAGAAGGGGAAGATCCACCCCTACTATAAAAATTGAATAGAATTGAGAGCCATCCATTTGAGTACTTAGGCAATCTAGCGTTTATGAAAATAACAGAGGCAGTACCCAACACAGAGGTAATAGACGCGCTGAATGAGAGAGGATACATTTATCTGATACGCATAAACAACGAAGAGAGAAGCGTAGGAGAAACTAAAATGATAAACGCAAGAAGAATAAAAATTATGGACATGTATGCAATAGAGCATTTTGAAGTAACGGCGCTTTAATCTAACATTGAAAAGTGTATTAAAGCACTTAAAGGGGTAATATTAACACACAATAAAAACGATTGGGATTGTTAGGGACCTAGCGATCTTTAATCTAACCCAGTAGGGATACTTTGTCGATACCTTTGAGAAAATATTCAAAGATATTAGACTAGCAGCGGTGTTATACCTACACACAAATATCCTAGTAATCCCACTAACAGATCAAAGATTTAAAAATATCAGATAATATTACGAGGTGGCAATAGGTGGACATAGAGGAATGAATAAGACTTATAACAGGATCGCCAAAGACTGCTACTGGAGGAATATGCGCCCTGATGTTAGACAAGTCATTATGGGATGCGCATCATGCCAAACAAAAATACTTATCCGAATTAAAACGAAACAAGCCATACTCATCACCGATAAACCGAGTAGACCGTTCGAAAAAATTTTGATAGACTTTTACGGGCCTATCAGTAAACCTTCAGAAAATCAGTACACACACATACTATCTATGCAAGACTGGCTCATGAAATTTATCGTCCTCACACCCGTCAAAAGAGTGACAGCCGAACAAACGGTAAGAACGATAGCAGATAAGTTTATAGCGTAATTTGGGCGTCCGGAACATTTATTATCGGACCGAGGCACTCGTTTTATGAACAAAAGCATGGACGAACTCGCAAGTTTGTTTAAAATAGACAAAATGGGCAGTACAACATTCCACCCACAAAAAAACGGCACCATCGAACGTATGCATTATACTCTCACGGAGTTCATCAAAGCCTACGTAGAACAAAATGACCACTGGGACGAACATTTACCGATGTGTATACACTCATACAACACAACGGACCACCAGAGTACGGGATACTCAGCGCACGAACTAGTCTTTGAGCAAAGAGCAAGAACACCATATAGTATCAAACTGCTACCTGAGAGCCAAAGTTCAAATTAACATTTTAAAGAGCTAGTGGAAACTCTGACGGAAGTGAAAACTATCGCAGCAATGAACCAAGTTCAGGCCAAATACCGATCGAAGTATTACTATGATCGCAAACTGAATATAAAATATTTTTTGGAGGGAGAAATGGTTTATGTGGTGAAAGAGCCATATTCTCTTGAAAAAAACCATATCAAAAAACCACATAAGAAAACAACGTTGAATTATGTGGTTTTACAACTTCGTTTCCGTATTGTTTTTTGTCCCAAATCGCGACATGGTTTCTAAAAATCATGTGGTTTTATTGTAATAAATGTTCCTTAAGCTTTATTTTTTTTTCATTAATGATCCGTAAAGACTAAATCCAAAAGGCTGTGTTTTTAAAGTTTACTTAACTTTTATTAATTTTCATATACTCTACAGCTGTACAAGTTTAAATAAAAAAATACAGCTTTATTTCCACAAAGAATTCACTTAATACTTTTTTTGCTTTGATTTTTGTACAGTGATATTTATTTTACATTCAATTATTTTGAAACACATATAAATTTTTTAATGCGCTTTTAGCTTCAAACTTAAAAGTAAGAAAACAAATTTAAAAAAAATCTATCCTCCTCTGTCATTTCGGCAACGTCTGATTTCCTACTTTCTGTGTCGCTGCTTTCACTACTGGAGTCTTTGTCTGAAAAGTTATTACATAGGTATTTTGTTATCTATTATTTGTGTGTGTGTCAAAAGTACGTAGTATACCACCGGGAATTTCTATCATATTGAGGACTACAATTCAATACATTTTTACTATTGGTATTATATTACAATAAATATTTGTATTTCTAAGATTTTTTTCGACCTTATTAATTCCTTAACATACAAGCTTTGTTAGTTTCATTTATTTACGTGAAAGTTGCTTGAGGCTAGCAAGTTGACAAGCTCAGCTCAGAGGGCGCTATAGAGAATGGCCTCACATTTTACACAGGTATAAACATGGCGCTACATGTACACAAACTTTTTCTGTATCAAGATTATATAATTTTATTGGTTGTACCCTGTTAATGAACGTCAGCTGATATTTTATCTGAGATGTAAGCTGACATGTCATCTGATATGTTATGACAGAATGTCATGTACAATTTACCTATAAACATTAAATTTGATAACAAACTGCCGAAAATTGTTATTCACAATTTTTTCATTGTGCCATCTGAGTCTTACCTCCGCATGGCACATCGAAAAACATATCTGTTGAGGCAACTCGATGCGTACCTTCAAACATCAATATTTAAAAAAAAATCTAGATGATATGTCACCTGATGTGTCAGCTAATATATCACGTGACATGTCATCTATATTTTTTTTTTAAATATTGAAGTTTCTGAATTAATGTCAAATTGCCTTAATAGATGTGTTTTCAATGTGTCATACGGATGGTAAGAGTAAATTGGCACAATGAAAATCTGTAAATTGCAATTTTCGGCAGTTTGTCATTAAATATATAATGTTCAAAGGTAAGTTATACATGAAATTTTGACATGCCACATAAGATGACCCGTCAGCTGACATCTGAGATGACAGATCAGCTGCCGCTTATTAGCAGGGGAGGCTCCTCTTACTAGCGCAGCTTTAAACTGAACTCAACCGGCACCGAAGAAAATTAATAATTAAAGATTTAATAATGAATAAAGTGTGAGAGTCGGTAGGGCAGGTTTATTTATTATGTAATTCTACGCTCGTAGTCTGTGGCCATTAGTATACAATTACTATAGGAGTACGAAGCTAGCGCTACGAGCGGATTTTACTCGAGTATCAGCGACTTGTGGAGCTGGCTCCGTAATCCTATAGTAATTGCATAGTAATGGCCATATACTGCGAGCGTAGAATCACAAAATAAATAACTTTGCGGTGAGGTCGAAACTCCCAATTATGCTTCATTATTAAAAATTTTTGTGGTATTGCTATTACCTTTTTTACGTAAAAAGCTTATATAATCGCCTAGATCTTTCTTCCAAGATGACTTAAGTGTCATTCTCATACTTTTCGTCTTGTTTTTATTAAGGTAGGTATAATACGTTTCTAAAGATAAATACAATAGTTACAAGAAGCTAATATTATATTATGTTACAATTTATATTGGTGCAACAATCAAAAGGGACAAGGGCTGTTTATAATAGGTTTAATATAAAGTGTATAGTGCTTATGTATACAGTCATCCCGTGTAGGCCTGTATCCATCCCCAATTTTGGTATTATGTTTGTTTCCCGTATTTCCCCGCACGATTTACAGACGGGAAATTAAGATCTACAGATTCTTTTATTTTCACACTAATTAACTAAGAGCTAATTGATATTTCATTTGATATTTATTTTAATTGATATGTAATGATATTTAAAGTATGCAGATCTTAAACTTTAACTTTGTCTATAATGTTTTTTTGTTTTCGGTTAAGCTATTTTGTACCTTGGCATCAACTTATAATAATAACAATAAAAATACATTTAACTTATTTTCCCACATTTATTTTGCTCTTCTGAAGGATAAAAAATATTAATATAAATGAATAGAACTATACCAGAGTATCAAAGACTCACTTTACACTTACTTCGAAGAATATACTTCTTACGAGGAGTGAATCTTTCTTCCTTATTATTTTTATGTGCATCTTGTTGCGTTCTACTAACGTTGAATNTCTGAAGGATAAAAAATATTAATATAAATGAATAGAACTATACGAGGGTACCAAAGACTCGCTTTACACTTACTTCGAAGAACATACTTCTTACGAGGAGTGAATCTTTCTCTCTTGGTTTTTTTTATCTGCATCTTGTTGCGTTTTACCAACGTTGAATGCCTTGTTCATGGGAGTATTGGTCATCTGGTACGCATGATACAGGCTGCAAAAGGCGTTATACACCAGTTGTGTAGAATTTTGACAATGAAGCAATCTGAAGGTATATTAAAAAATTGCGTTTTTTCACAAAACCATTCCAATGTTGATAGTTTTATCTCCTACTTGGATAAAAAAACTACCAAAAAAACACTCAAATTTAATAAAATGTGGTATTTTGATTTGTATAAAAAACCTAACAATAAGTTGATAGCAGATCTACGATTGTCAAGTCTTAGCCGTATGTACGAAAAAATTGTTAAGGATGATTGCTGTTACACATCATCAAAGAAATGAAACATAAGTTCTGATAACATCCACGCTTTTACAACCGATGGGAGATATATATAAATAATTTAATTTATTAATGATAAATTGACTAATAAAAAATATACGCTCTGTAATGTACTAATAACAGGAGATGTAACTGAATTCAATACACGTATGAGGAAAATCATAAAGGTACCAGATGAGATTACAGTTATTGAAACTAACATTATTGAAAGAGTTTGTGTGAATCTATGTTTTGAAGATCAACAGTATATATGTCGAGTACTAAATTTATGTTCTTACCAAAGTGTACGATTGTATTTTCCTGATTGCATTTAAAAAAAAGGTATAGAATATTGAAAGAGTAAGATCTATAGTTATGTTAATATATGTTAAAAAATACCCCGGTTGCTGAGTGTCAGATGGTTATCAGCCGATAATCACCTGATATCTTGGATTGATTTCCACCTGAAATTCACTTCAATTTTATCTGACGGTCACTTGACTTTCAGATGATATTCACCTGATTTTCACCTGATTATCATCATTTTCATATCTCGTGATAAACAGCTGAAAGCAGGTGATAACCAGGGGAAATTTGGACCACTATCAGGTAAAAATCATGCCAAAATATCAGGTGATTATTAGCTGATTATCATCTGATGCATAGCAACCAGGACGCACAAAAAGTGTTATCCAGTATTCAGCATAAGATATGGATTTGAGGAGAACATTAAGATAATAATTAGGTCTATCTTTTTTGTCATCGTAAAAAAATATATCTGTCTATTGTAATAGTTGCATTTAGGTTCATGCGACCAAAATGCAGTAAGTGAAAAGTAGACATGTTCACAATGTCAGACTTTTTCGGTGTTATCTAAATAAATTTAATGCTCATTTAAAAATAAGTTTTTATTTGAAACAAATGTCATACAAAACCAAAAATTCTCCCAAAGAAAACATTTTCTACGATGATTCGATGACTTAAATGTGAAACCATGTCGCGATTTAAGACAAAAAACCATACGAAAACGAAGTTGTAAAACCACATAATTTTACGTTGTTATCTGATGTGGTTTTTTTAGGTGGTTTTTTGATATGGGTTATTACTAGAGAGTCAAAAGGTAAATATGATTTGCAATACGAGGGCTCATATGAAGTAACAGACACTGATTATATCAACAAAAACGTAAAACTACACAGAGGTGACGAAATAACAGTATCCCACGTAGATAAGATCAAAAAAGCGTGTATGGTAAAGGCATTACCAGAGAAAACAAACAGGGTGAAGCAAACGAAAGAACCTCCTTGAACATTTAACTGCGCTTAAAATTTTCGCGGCCCCTGGACGCGCCGCGAACTAAATATTACCATACGTTAGACTCAGATTTGCAAGCTAACAAAAAAAAAAAAAAAGAAAAAAAAACAACTATAATGGGGAGGTACGCATGAACAGAGCATTAATAACATTAATCAATAGTAATTTGATATAACGTGAATGAAAAAACAGCAAAGCGAATGAGGGGAGCGTGTGGCACTCTCTAGTGAGAAGACGTACTCAATAGGAGTAGAATTAACTGACAGGCTAAATGTACAAATTATGGATGGTAAAGACAAATAAAAAGGAAAAAATATACGTATAGGCTGACATATACTTGTAAATTTAAATAATTTTATGCGAGAAGTACACAAAGAAAAGTTAATATGAAATTAGCAAATGAAAATAAGTATGAACGAACAATTTTCTTTAGTACCCCATTGACTTCATTATTGTTTAAAAAAAAATGAATAAAAGCATTTTACAGTTATTGTTAGGTAGAGAGGAGGAAACGTCACACATAATCGTCACGAGATATAGAATTGACGGCCATGTCTAAAATAACGAACGGCCCGTTCGTCGGACCGTCCACCTCAAAAGGAATTATCAACCCCACCCAGCGTGTGGCAGTGTTTCCTCAAGACTTGGCCGTCGAAGGACAGCTGGAAAGCCCTTGTGGGATCCTGGAATACCTCCGAGACAACAATGCCACGTTACCAGCCTATTCTTGTTCAAACAGTGGCGTCGATACTGGAAAGAAGGCATAGAGATCTACAACAGCCAAAAAAAAAGAAGCAAGAATGCTTGTTATTATTAAAGCTACTACCTACACAACAACATTGTGCATTAGTGCATGTGGGCTGCTCTTGCAGAATTGCGACCATGAGGACAGCACACAGAGATTCTCGTGGTGCGAAAAATCATGTTGTCACATGAGCAGTGTCGAAGCTTAGCTCCGGAAACTCAGACAACGGCACGAACACCTTAGAAAGCGCACTTTCTTCAGAGACCAAAAGAAAAAAAAGAGAAAAAATAGAAGTTTTTTTTTGAGGGAAAAACAGCGAAGAACGAAATCAGCAAATGCGTCTACGGCGCGGCGTTAAGAGTAAAAGCAAACAAGAAATGTCCATATAATCCCTATCCTAAACCTCATCATGTTAGGGAAGGGAGAGAGGGAGTAGCAGAAAAACATAGTATCAGAAAATGTAAGGATGAAAAACACTAGAAAAATATAAGACACAGGTCTAAACGTAAATGCGGAATGCACTGCCGTAAAATGATTCCTTTTTTATTGCACACCTCCAAGCTCGTCGCTACCAAAATAGAAGTCAAATGTAAGATAACCGATCGTCAAATTATCTGACTATACAGTCTTCTCGAATATGTTATATGACTCCGTAGGCAAGATTGGGCGCACAATATTATAACTAAACATTCACATACTCAGTAACTGACTCATACGCACACGTAGAGCCGATGCGAAATAATTAATGACAAAAAAAAACAACATATTTGTGATAAAAAAGTTTGAAACGTACTAAAAGTACTTACATAAATAAAAAAATAAATAGGCAATAATATTTGTACAAGAAGAAAAGCAAGATAATTAAAAGATATATTCATTATTCTATACTTTATATGTCAGGAGAGAGCCACACTCGCAGCTCAACGCTAACTGAATGAAGGGAAAACATAAGAGAAAGGGTATGGTAGATACGGTAATATACTTAAATAAATAGCTATCGATGGGATATAAATAGTGTTACGACAAGTATTTACCACAGAGATGCGGGCCCGTAGGCAGGAACCAGGGTGCGAAAGCTATAGTTAATAGCTTTATGTATTGCAGGGCACAATTGGAGGTACCAGAACATTTACAATGGTCAATAACACAAATAAAAAATAACTGAGGATTAATCGCGGAAAACATTTCTCCGTTGGCTACAACAAGCACAAATTGGAAAATCTTACAAAAAATAGACTTATCATTCTACCTCTCACTGGGACCCAAATTAAGAGCGATATGCAGACAATTGTGGAAAAAAAGTGAACAACTAGCGCCTAAAGCCGTACAGACGTCCAGACTACAAACAGTAGGAGATGAAATAACGCAAGCAATGGAGTCCTACAAGCGATTGACAAACCTGCTACAGGGAATAAACAACCGCCGTAAAAGAGCAATGATCCCATGGGGAGGAACGATTCTGAAATTTTTATTCGGAACGTTGGACAGTGACGATTATGAAGCACTAACAGATGCGCTTGACTTAAATAAAAACAGTACACATAATATAGGCAAAACTTCTAGCCATACAGACAGAAGTAATATCTAACAGAGTAAGTGGTGTAGAGGAAAGGGTGGAAAAAGTAGAAGCAGATATAAAGAAAATGGAAAACACAATTCACTTACAGAAAATAGATAGTTTAACAATTGCAGTTATAAATACACTGGATGGAAGCGTGAAGCTACATGACAGTACATGACAGACTGTGACTCCATAATAAACGCAGTCCTCTTTGCGGCAAGAGGACTAGTACATCCGAGGCTTATATGGCCTACGATTTTTTAAAACTCCCAAATACAGGCAAAACTATCCAGACCTGAGCTAATTCTTCCGGGAGCGGGATCTCAGATAAGTCCACTCAAGATAACAGACATATCTAGATTAACAATTTTGATGCAGAACAATCAGTTAACATACCACATAAGCATTCCGCTGTTAGATAAAGACTACGCCGATTTATACAGAATTTTACCCCTACCAATAAAGCAAGAAGGCCTAAACAGCCTTAATACTTATGCCTATATATGGCCAGAACACAAATATATGACCATAAATAAGAAAATCAATACATACATGGCAATAACGACTCTCGAAGTCTTCAGCTGTAAGAAATTGCACGAGTTGTTTGTCTGCGACCATACGGAACCGATAATAGAGATAAGGCAACATCATTCGTGCGAAGCACGGCTTATAGTACAGCACAGCATAAGCGATTGGAGAGAATTTTCAGTTAAAAACGTTGAACTGCAAGACACGGACTGGGCCCGAATCCATGCACCAAACCGTTGGGTTTTTACAGCAGTATAAGAGGAGTCACTGTTTATAGAGTGCTATGACTCAAACCGTTGAACAATTTTACTCAAAGGCACGGGCATTCTACGGCTTAATACAGGCTGTACTGCTCACAAGAATGTGCGCATAGCAGCTCCGTCAAATATGGAGGAAAATCTAAATACCACCTACTTTGGGATAGCAAACATGAACATCAACGGAATATTAGAAGAACTAGACGAAACATTGAAAGATAATGGGGTTTCAGATGGTGTTAACACGCTATTAGCACGAGGGAAGCTTAAGTTAATTAATAAACAAGGGCACTCCAGGAACAACCCACTAGCCGATGGGATACCCTTAGGAGAGATTATTAAAAAGGCCCACGGACTCGCAGAAAGTTAACAGTCACGAAAAAAAATTACAAGTTTTAAATGGCTCGTTTACCTAATAGCAGGACTGATAATCGCGGGAATAGGATTTCTTTTTCTTATGTATAAGTGCCTTCTTCATCGGGGGACCCTACTACTAATATGTTATAGAATGTTCACAGGTAAACAAAGACCTTAAGAAGAATTACGAGATCGGGCAGTAATCCAAACCGCGCTGCCAGCAGAACTCGGAGCAGAAAGGTGACTGCAACACTTAATACGAATACTAGAATTACCGTTGGCCGTGACACAGGATTAAAATTCGTGAGACAACGAGTATGAGCGTTGGGAGTCCCTCTACTGTATTGAAGGGCGCAGTTCGTAAGACGACAATAAGAAAAAATTTGTCTTTTTTTAAAATATGTAACATCGGGAAATTTGTTTTAAGTTTATATGTAAAAAAAAAAATATTGTAAAAAAACACATATATGATGATTGAAGCTATAACTATAATTTTGATAAGGATGATAATAACAATAATAATAGTAATAAGGAAAAAAGGATGAGCGCTCGACTGTAGTGTGGGGCGCAGTTCGTAGGACGAGACTTAGAAAGAATTTTTCTTTCTCTTCCCGTTATGTTAAGTATATTGTAAAAAAAAAAAANTAATGATGATGATAGTAATACTAAAGATGATCATTTTGATAATGATCATGATGATTAGGATAATAATGTTGTTGATGATAACATTGATGATAATAAGGATAATAAAGAATATAATAGTAATGATAACAAGATAATGATGATGATCATAATAATGATAATAATTATGTCGATTATAAAATACATTACAACGATTATAATAATAAAGATTACGATAATAGTAACAATAATGACGATAATAATAATATCAATGATAAAAATAATTAAAAAAATGATATAGTCGAAGATCATGAAAATGAGGTTGATGATGTTAATGATCATGATATAGAGAACGATTATGATAAAGATCAGCAGACAAAAGTGAGCGCTAGCAGTCGCTCGATTATATCGGGGGGCACAGTCCATAGGACGAGACCCAAAAAGATTTTTTTTTACTTGAATACTAATGATAATAAGTTAGTACAAAACTTTTTTTTATAAATAAACACATGTGAAAGTTAAAATGGAAACTACATTGTAAAACAACACTTGATGTAAAGTAGAACTAAGCAAATGCCCACCTCACGGCAATTTTGTACATAATTGTAATACAAAGCAAAGCGCATACACAATTAATATTGTTATACACTTGACACATGATGAGAGGAAATTGAATAATTGGAAGAGCAAAAATGATAATGTAAAGAGAACAGTGGTTCCCTATGATTGAATGGAAGAATTAGTGTAAAATACTAAACTTCATAAGCAGTATAAACAATAGAACACAGAACAGCACACACACACACACACACACACACAAGATTGCAAACAAGTACACAGACTCTATATAAAGTAAAAAGTCAGCGTCGTCGAGGACAACGACGTCGCGCCGTTGGACGTGTAACTTACGATAGTATAGGTGAGA